GGCTTGGAAGAGGAATACCCTAGCCTGGAGATGGAGCATGTACCTTCCACCGCCATGTCGAGAAAAACTCTTCTATAGGGCTGAGGAATGGAGAGTATGGTGGAAGAAATAGGACAGTGGAATGTTGATGTTGCTGAACATCTTTGATTTGCTGATTAGCTAACTCTTTCTCTGACTCTTCCATTGTGCTTGAAGAGCGATGAACTCACCTGCTGCATTTTATAGTGCTTAAAGACCTGGTTGGTGTGTCTACAATTAAGCAAACAAGCGTTTGCACACCTGATGACTGTAGAACCAATTGGTTGGACGGTGCGGTAATTTGACAGTCGGTGCTTTGGTATTGCAAGGAAGTGACTTCATGATAGATTTTTCTGTGTTTTGTTTGTTAAATGTGTTTAATGTTTTGCAAATCACTGTGTGTAGAGTTTTGCAACAAGTGTGAGGTTTACAATGTGCTTATAGCTATGCAAATTTGGGCTGATTTTTTGCTTCTTGGGTGTAAGGTTTTTGCTAAATGTACTACTTTTAATTGTAATAGGTTTTTACTGACATCCAGTGGCTACTTTTGGTCATTACATGATTTCAAGTAATGTTTTGCTAATTTATGGTTGTCACACATATAATTCTTCATCATTTATTTCAATAATTCATTCGTAGTTTACTGTTTATCGGATAACAAAGATTTTGCTCAAACTAATGATTTAACAGTTCCTGCTAGATAATTAATGCAAAAAAAAAAAATTGTTTTTATTCATAGTGAGGAGCCTATGAAATATTACTTGTGAAATTAGCTTTGAATGAGTTTATAAGAGTACAAATGTACATTTATTATGATTTAAGTTTATAAGCTATATTCAATGCACTTATATATACATTTATTTGTATATTTGCTTCAATTTTTTCTCATAAAAGGCCAAAAGTCCCGCCAAAGCTGAAACATTTTTGAGTCGCTTTAATGTACTTTTACTGACATTTAGTGGCTAATTTTGGTCATTACATGCTTTCAAGTAATGTTTTTATGGGTCTGCTATATCATGTTTATCACAAAAAACGTAAACTTTGCTATTTTATTAGCCATTTACGGCCTATGTTTAATATTTTTTTAACTTTACTTCAGTAATTTTGTGTGTTTTCTATACACAAAGTATATTTTTTTTAATGCTGAATTGAGAAAAAAAAATGAATTAAATAACCACGAACTCTAATAATTTTTTTTACACATTAACAATAAACAATGAGTTTAGTATTGACTTTGTGAATTGCATTCTCTTTTATATTCTATTGAACTCAAAATCAAACATATTAGAGAATGAAAAAAGAAAACAACATGACTTTAAAATTTTAATTTGAATTATCTTCTTTTGTGTAGATATTAATATTCAGAAGCAGAATAATATTGTGAGTTTTATCCTAATGCATAAAGATATTAAAACACAATTTCAGAAAAATGACTAACTGAATAAAATGCACATCCCTTTATTCTCACTAAGGCAATAGTTTACTGAAGCAACACAATTTACTGTACATTTATGGGATAGTGTTCATGCAGTGATTGGTCATGATGCAGCGATTGTCTTTGGACAAAAGCATCTGCTAAATGACTAAATGCACAGCTGAAGTCAGAATTATTAGAACCCCTTTATTTTTTATTTTATTTTTTTTAAATATTTCCCAAATTATGTTTAACAGAGCGCGGACATTTTCACAATATGTCTGATATTTTTTCTTCTTGAGAAAGTCTTATTTGTTTTATTTCGGCTAAAATAAAAACAGTTTTTAATTTAAAAAAAAAAAATCATTTTAAGGTCAACATTATTAGCCCCTTTAAGCTATATATTTTTAATATACATAACAAACTATCGTTATACAATAACTTGCCTAATTACCCTAACCTGCCTAGTTAACCTAATTAACCTAGTTAAGCCTTTAAATGTCACTGTAAGCTGTATAGAAGTGTCTGAAATAAAATTTACTGTCATCATGGCAAAGATTGTGTTTAACAATTGTGTTTAGAAATGTGTTGAAAAAAATCTCTGCGCTAAACAGAAATTAGGGGCTAATAATTCTACTTCAACTGTTATGTCATGTAATGTTATGTTATGTTATGTTATTCTGTGTTTTTTATTTAAGAAGGAACCAAATGCATTTTGGCTTGAAAAAAGGAAACAGTAAAATTACAGTAAAATTAACTTTAGAAGTCTGTAATGAATCACAATTAAATATTTTAATTTAATGACTGCACTTAACATACACGTTTTATTTTTTTATTCACAAACAAGTGTAATACAGAGCAGTTACGTTATTATATTATATAATATAAATGATAGATAAATAATAGAACAAAACCAATCAATGGTGTCTTTAGATGATAATTCAGCTTTGTTTAAATATTTTAGAAAGATTAGCCATGCAGGTTGTCTTTCTGCCAATTTTGTAAAATTCAGATCGCTGCAATGTTTAATAACTAAGCATAAAAACAAACAAAAAAATATATAATATAAAATTATATAATATAATATAATATAATATAATATAATATAATATAATATAATATAGTATAATATAATATAATATACTATAATATAATATAATATAGTATAATATAATATAATATATAAGGCGACGCAGTGGCGCAGTGGGTAGCACATTCGCCTCACAGCAAGAAGGTCGCTGGGTTGCTGGTTCGATCCTCGGCTCAGTTGGCATTTCTGTGTGGAGTTTGCATGTTCTCCCTGCGATCGCGTGGGTTTCCTCCAGGTACTTCGGTTTCCCCCACAGTCCAACGACATGCGGTACAGGTGAATTGGGTAGGCTAAAATGTCCGTAGTGTATGAGTGTGTGTGTGTATGTTTGGATGTTTCCCAGAGATGGGTTGCGAAGGGCATCCGCTGCGTAAAAACTTGCTGGATAAGTTGGTGGTTCATTCCGCTGTGTTCCCCGGATTAATAAAGGGAATGAACGAATGAATGAATGATATAATATAATATAATATAATATAATATAATATAATATAATATAATATAATATAATATAATATAATATAATATAATATAATATAATATAGTATAATAACCATTCAGGTAGCTGAATGATGTTGTTGCCTGGCTTTGCGAAAAGACTGTGATCATCTTCCAGGAACATCAGGCGGTTTGTCTTGGTCTGGCACCTGAGCTGAGATCTGTCCACTCTGACCCTACCAGTGTTATTGATGCTGCCCTCACAGCACATCAAGCTGCACATCATGTGAGGGACTTTAACCTAACCGGACTAGTTAAACATGAAAACCGACCAATCAAAACCTTGTGTAATGCACAAAAATGAATGAAGATGAATCTTTACAGTGAATGAAGCAAGTAAAGCCATCTATATTTATATAGCGTTTCATAGAATGAAGATTGTCAAAGCTACTTTGCAAGGATGAACAGGCAAGTAAAAAAAGTAAAATTTCCTTATTCAGGAAGAAATTCAGTACATGTAAGATGGCAGAATAGCGCTGGTGTAGTTCTAGTTAGTTTGGAAATGATTCAGTTCAGTCTTTCTTACTTTCTGTTGATATTATGCTATGAATTCTGATTTTGATAACCTGCTTGACTTTGTAATTGCGGACATGATGAAAGACGCTTGACGCAGTAAACAACTTCAATAAACCTGCAGTTGTCAACAAAAACCAAAGGTGAAAGTAAGGCCATTTGAGAACAGTGAACTCATTGTCATGTTCAACAAGCATGTTCTGAGATGACATGGCACGTTATGCTGCTGAAAGTAGCCATCAGAAGATGGGTACAGTACACTGTGGTCAGAAAAGGATGGGCATGGTCAGCAACAATACTCAGGTAGGCTGTGGTGTTGACACAAAGCTCAATTGGTACGAATGGGCCTGTGCCAAGAAAATATCCCCCACACCACTACACTACCACCACCACTGCTGCCAGCCTGAAGTGTTGATTGAAGGCAGGATGGATCCATGCTTTCATGTTAACGCCAAATTCTGACCCTACTATCCGAATGTCGCAGCAGAATTTGAGACTCATCAGTCCAGGTTTTTACAATCTTCTATTGTCCAATTTTGGTGAGCCTGTGCGAATTGTAGCCTCAGCTTCATGTTCTTAGCTGACAGGAGTGGCATCCGGTGTGGTTCTCTGCTGCTGAAGCCCATCCGCCTCAAGGTTCAACATATTGTGCGTTCATAGATGTTCTCCTGCATACATCGGTTGTAACAAGTGGTTATTTGAGTTACTGTTGCCTTCCTATCTGCTCGAACCAGTCTGGCCATTCTCGCATTAACAAGGCATTTGCACCCACATAACTGCTGCTCACTGGATATTTCCTCTTTTTCAGACCATTCTCTGTAAATCCTAGGGATGGTTGTTCGTGAAAATCCCAGTAGATCAGCAGGCCACTGGTTTCTGAAATACTCAGACCAGCCTGTCTGGCACCAACAACCATGCCTGTTTAAAGACACTTAAATCATTGTTCTTCTCCATTCTGATGCTCAGTTTGAACCGCAGCTGATCTTCTTGACCATGTCTAAATGCCTAAATGCATTGAGTTGCTGCCATGTGACTGGCTGATTAGAAATTTGTTTTAACAAGCAGTTGGCAGGCATACCTAATAAAGTGGCCGGTGAGTATTAGGTACAGTTTATTCTTATTTTATTTTTTTTACATTTAAAGTCACTTGGTTTAAATTCATGTCCCATTATAAAAAGGAAATCCGCAAATAAAATCAGTAAAACTGTGACTTTTACATTGAAAATCAACAGCCTTCAGTTTTAGCCTAATGTCTACAGTCATCTTGCTTGTTGCACTCTGCAAACTTTCCTAAGTCATTCTCCACTTAGTGTATGAATAAAGCTTTATGCGTGTTTGTGTTCTCGTGTTCCAGCGTTTTTAAATAGTCCATCCACTTTCACGTTGTTTTATTACCGATTTCAACCCATACGTTTCAACCGCACTGTTGTCCGCTCCAGTCCAGCAGGTGGCAGAAGATAACTATTTAGCCTACAACAAACATGGCGACTCCCACAGAACACGAGGATTTATCTGAACAAGTAAGTTTTTGTGTTGTTTTACGATGTCAAACGTTGCAGGAATGAAGAACGTGTACACATATTTTAATAAACATTTCAAATAAATGTTTACTTCAAAATATCTGGAAATGAAGTCGCAAAAGATACGTTAAATCGGTAAAGATGTCATGCCAATTTTAATAACGCTGAATGCGACACTACCTGGTGTTGATGATATTGTTTTTTATCAACAGGAGGTGACAGAAGATGAATTTAAAACACCAAAGATCCGAGAAACACCAGAAGACATCAAACTAGAGGCCATCGTCAACACTATTGCATTTCATCCCAAACAAGACATTCTTGCAGCAGGAGACATTGATGGCGATATTTACCTGTGAGTTTGTTTTCTAAAGGCGTCTAAAGTCCTTGTTCAATTGGCAGAAGTAGTGTTTAGGGTTGAAGCTAATGTTATGTGTAGAATATTTGTAGTTATGTTAAATGTAAACTAACATTTCAATTTGTTTTATATGAAAATTTTTAAGCATGTATTAGTCTTTCAATACAAAGTTACCATGTGTTTTTATAAAATGGGACTTGTGTTAAGTACAGTTAAGAAACAGGTTTTCTAGTTTTATATTGAAAGACACTCTATGTAAATAATATATTTTGATTTGCTTGTCTCTTTTTAGATTTTGGGCATTTATGTTGTTCATAACATTGTTATTAGAACACAAAATATCTAAAAATAAATAAATGAAATTTAGGTACTTTTTATGCCATCAAATGTGTGGTGCCAGTAGATTTTTAAAATATGTTTATTAAACTTTTACAGATATAACAAAGTAATTTTACAGAGAAATTTAAACAAATAATATTCCCACCAATACCCTCTAAACATGTTGAAAATACATAGGAGAGAAAAGAAGAAAAAAATAAAACATTTTAATGAATGAATAAATTACTAAATGAAAAAAAAAATATTTTATAAAACATCAAATAAAATCAAACAAAAAATCAATAAATTAAAAGATAAAAAATTTAGAGAATACACTTATACCTTGATAACTCAATATTATAAACATTAATCCTCTGGTATTTATGCAAGTTGCTTAATTACATTTACTTTGCAATTAAAAGGCCCTAAGATTTAAATTGACAGTTTGTAGAGGTACTGACATGCTCAAAAAAGAAAATTCTAAATTGGTCCCATGTTTCAGAAAAAGCCAGGGTATAACCTGTTTTTTTCCTAATGGATGAAGCACATTGCATCTCGCAACCAGTTGTCAAAACTCAGGGAAAATCTTTGTTTCCATAACAAACAAAAAAAAACAACCTACATCACACATGACGTCACACAGGTTCAATCGCGCATACTGGTTGCAGAAAAAAAGACCGGTTGCAATAGCAAACATGTTGTGTTGTGCGGTAAGATGCCAAAATAGAATGTCCAAAAATAGAAAACCTAAATTTTACGCTACACCACACTGCTTTTAATGCCAACCCTAGATGTCTTGCAGCAATGATTTCAGCTAAAACAGTTAAATATGGTTAATTAAACTGCGGACCCTGAATGCTTTTAAAAATCTAAGTTCACATACCCTGCCGTACAGATGCCGTTCGCTGTCAGAATGCAGTTGTTTTGCTTGTTGATGATTACCCAGGTCTTGTAAATTTTCGTTTTCTTTCCTTGTCTTTGGCTTGGCAGAACCTCGGTTTTTACCACTACATTGCTTTGAATCTGGTGATCATGGAACATTATTTTCTTGCACAGGACCACACAGAACAAAACTATTGGCATCCAAAGACTTGCAGGCCTTTAACTTCTCTCTTGTAAAATCACTTGGAGTTTCAATGAGATAGTTGTATATTTTGGGCTGGATGCTTGGTGATTTCCTCTTATCCAATATCCACTGGGAGGGTGCTATCCCCAGTGGACCAGTCAGACGAACGCCGCTCACCTTAACATTAATTTTGCAGAATAACTGTGCTTATCACTGCGTAACAAGCTGTTATAATATGCTGAAAGCATTATGTAAATAATATATATAATATGTAAATAATATAACATATCTCTAATACAACAACAAACTCTGTACTGCATAGGATGTCATTCCCTAGCTTTAAATGCTTGCGCTCCAGGTTTTTTTCATTTGCAGTACAGCTCCATAACCCTTCTATATTCAGAGAAAGTCCAAAAAGTGCAATAAGATTACAAGGTTCGATGTGCATCTTTGTCACAGAAGAGAAACACTTGAAAATTGATAGCCAAAAAGAAGTGATTGATGGACAAAGACAAAACATATGTATTAAGTCTGCAGGTGCTTGATTACAGCAATCACATATAGGGTCCAAGTCTTGAGTTATTTTCGCCAACCTCACTTTTGTAAAGTATATTTGATGAACAAATTCTTAAGCCAGTAGATTTTGATTAAAACTCAAGGCCATTTTCTGAGAATTATTTTCTTTTCTTGTGCTAATAGCCAGAAAAAAATATTAACTTCAGTTTTATTTATACACAGTATCTGCAGGGTCTTAAGTTTTAAAATGAATTAAATTTCAAAATTAAAATTTTAGGCCTTAAAAAGTCTTTAATTCACTGAAATATTGTGTTGTAGGTCTTTAATTAATTTAAACAGGTCTAAATTTTGTATATGTATATGTATATGTAAAGCTACCCAGTTAGACCAACACCCATCCAATCACTCACTATTTTATACCATCTCAATAAAAGTTTTAACAAAAGTTTATGTATTAACTAAGCTGCTAAATGCCACTTCCACCAGTGAATGGCAAATGATAACGTCCCTTACTTCAAAACTCTGTGCATTATAAGAAAAAAAAAAAACACTGTAGCTACAGTCAGAAGTATGGCTGGCATTCATAATTTTTTTTTTTTTTTTGCGCAGTGACACTATGAATGAGTCTGATTTACTCTAGCTACATTAAACAGCAAGTCCATTTCATGAAAGACAGAGTGAATATGCTGTTCTTTTATTGCACATGGATGCTATGAGAATAAACGAGACAAAAAAAAAAAACCAAGACCTTGGGTATGGTGAGAAAGAATAAATGACAGCTTCTAAAAGTGTCTGAGAGACATCCCCTTTTTGCCCAGTAAACCTTGTTTTATTTGTTAATGTAAGCTATTTTTTAAAGATAAAAAAAGTATAAAACTATACATTATTTATAATACTTCATATATGTCTCATAAGCTTTTTATATTTATGGACTATGCACAGATAGCCTATTGATGTATCACAATGTTTTAACACTACATTAAGTTTAGTTTACAATGTTTACTTTGCGCTGCTTGCTTTAAATCTAAATCCCTAATATCAGAAATGACAACAGATTGTTAAGATTTAATTCACGTCTGTTTTAATGTTACTGATTAATGCACTTACTTGACAGATTTCATTTATTCATTTTCCTTTTGCTTAGTCCTTGGTTTATCAGGAGTTAAACAGCCACTTACCTAACAGATTTATATATTTTCAATTTTAGGTGGTTTGTGTAATGTGCTTTATGTTTGGTAAAATATTTTCTAATTGCATCTTTAGTGATTTTTCAACTAATTGAAAAAAGTCTTGGTGTCTTGGTCTTGGTGGATTTAAAGGTTTTTGCAAAAAAAAAAAAAAAAAACAAGTGAATTTAGCTGGTTTTGACACAAAAGAAAATCTTTACCTTGATAAAAACCAAACAATTATCTAAAGTGACATTTATGAAAAAAAGGTTATTTTATTTACTAGATGATAACGTTTTTGTTATCTATAAAATGAAACTTCTGAACCTAATTATTGGATCCTGATAGAAAATGATCATTAAAAAAAAGAAGTCTGATGGATTTAGAGGGTTTTGCATCTGAACTCTTCATTTATATTTATATTAATAAACATCTTCCTTACAATAATAATTGTTTTTAATGTTTTTAATGTTTTAACTGGGCCATTAGAAAAAAAAATCCTTGGTTTTTAGCCTTGTGTAATTTGAAATTTTATTCATAATGGTTTTAAAAAGGTCTTAAATTTGACTTGATGAAACCTGTTATATCAACCTTCTGAAGGTTTTTGCTGATTCATGAATGAAGATCCAGTCATTCAAGTCTAAAATATGTTTTTTCAAATACAAATTTTAATAAATACTTGACATCTTCTAAAAGAAATAAATTTAAATAAAATTTTAACATTTATTCTTCACTTAGGGATTCAAAATACATCTTGATCTTTCTGACATGGAAAAACAATTGTATTCTTTATTTTCCCTCGAAGGGAAGATATCTTTTTTTACACAATGTTATCTAATGAAGGGTGTTCTTCCCTTACCTCCTTGAAAGTTATATAGAAGAAAGACTGTGGAACAAATTTAGTGAAGAATGGCTTTCGGTTTGTTCTGGCATATTTTTCAAAGGGTGCCACAATATCAAAACATGAGCCAAAATTTTTAAGTTCTTTATACAAACTTATTTAACACCAGTTCGTCTAAATAAGATATTTCCTAATGTTTCTCAATGTTGTTTTAAGTGCAAACCCAGTGCTGGTACTGTAATGCATGTAATCTGGAACTGTGACATGATTAAGACATACTGGAAAGAAATCCACAAATTAGTTCAAAAGATTATAGATAAACCGTGTGCCCTATCTCCAGCTATTTATCTTCTGAATTGTAAAAGTGCTCTACACCTTAGTCGTGGACTGGATTCTGTGTTACACTTTTGCACATATCTAGCAAGAAAATGTTTTCTTTTGCTGTGGTCCTCTCCCAACATTCGGCCAATATGTTGATAAATCAGATTGCCATTTTTTACCCTTAGAAAAACTGACTGATGACTTGCATCTGATGATTTCTGGCTTATCTGGAATCCTCTATGGGAGTTTTTAGAGAATGTATCTTGAAAGACTATTTTTTTTTTTTAATGAATTTTTTACTCTTTACAAAAGACATGTTTTACTAGCCGATGGACGATTGTATAATGGATGGCTAAATTACTGTATCTGATGACATGAGACACCTATACCACTGTTCTGTCATTGTAAATCTTTAAATAAATAATAACAATAAACATTTATACTTAAGAACAATAGTAATCCAGATATGGAGTTATTCAAATTAATCTTAACAAGTGAAACAAATGTTTTTACCTATTAAATTTGACTGTACACTACAAAAAAGGCTTGTTTTACTTAGAGATTTTGTCTTGTTTTAGATTTATGTACTAGATTATTTTGCTTGTTTTAAAGAAAAACTCACTCAATTTTGCCACATTATTTCTTAAAACAAGACAAAATTTTTTTGCTTGTCTTGATGCTTCTTGATTTAAGAATTTGTTGATGTATGGATTAGAAAACTAGACAAAAACTCCCAAGAAAAAAAAGCGTTTTGTAGGGTCATAGTGAA